CCATCTTGAAAGTTCACTAAACAGGCAGAAAGGTGTTATGGCTGTTGCAGTCGAAATCCACAGTGGCCCTATTATAGGTGGCAGTGCCATGCGTGTTGTATTCGGTGTACTTCCATACTAGTACTAGGGGCGCATTGCACTCAACTCTACCTCTAGCCAGTCTTTGACAATCCTATCACCATATAATTAATCCTGGCAGCCCAATTAATACTTTTTATCATCCACATATTTCAGTGAAGTTGTCTCGGATGAATGGCAAGTGCATAGTAGAATGCTATGCTGTAGCGGCTTAATCATAATTACTTTCCAGAGTTTAGTGGGGCAGATGCTCTATGGGAACAATTGATAGGGCCTGTGGAACAGCAGGGACAATTCCCCTCAAGTCCAGGCCTGAGGCAAAGTACTGCTGAAGTGTTTGGCCATGAGCCTGTCAATACCCGTATCAGCATCTCTGTCCATACAGAATCTCCTGGAGTTGCGCAAGTGTTTCCTGGAATTCCAGTCTTATCTAGCTTCCTGGCTGAGAGTCAGGAAATGGTTGCTGTTCACATCCAGACTTTGCTATTTGTTTTGAAAAACCATATCACACTCCTTACCATTGACTGAACTCACCCCGGTATATACAACCTTCTGCTAGGCCCACCCTCTCTTCAACATGCTATCCTCGTTGCCACAACACAAAACCCTTGTCATAATCCTCTGGCTCCTAATCCCACTATGGATGGCTTTCGCATTCTTGGGCGACTCTCCGACATTGTGATCCAGCCTGCGAGCATGATTGATGCCTTCCAGGAGCATGCTCATCACCATGATCATGTTGTTGCTGTGCATGGGCAGCTGTCAGGACCACCTGCTGCTGACGTTGCAGCATTTCATGCTACCTGGCGGCCATACGGTATCACCCTTACGCACCATTTTGTCCTAGTTCTACATAAGGCTGCCCGACCTCAGGCTCTAGTTCCATCAGGTTTTCCATCTGCTGAAATAGCTTCCACCAACCTCGAGTATGACTTGGTCCCCAGTCATATAGCATCCTCTGAACCCCTTCCAATTGCACCCTCTGAATGTTTTCCAATCACGCTCGCAGGGGTAGTTTCCAGGCAGGCAGTCTATGAAGCTGGACAGCGAATGCTAGTCCAGCTAGTGCGGAACTTCTATGCTATGGCATCTGTCATCATCCAGCTAGGCCTCCCAGATTATCATATGGATCCCCGAGTCACGGGTCTATGTTGCAGCGAGGAACGAGTGTAAACATAGAGTACTGACTTTGTACGAATGCGGAAGTGGTTGTGCACGTGGCTCCTTTCTTCTGAGACAACCACTTTCGCCTGCCTCAAGAGAGTCGCAAAGCAGCTCGTCCAGCGTTTTGAGGCCTACTCTACACCAGCCTAATATATTCTACCTCTGGCAACAACCCTAACATCTATTGTACCCAGTCCACTAGCCCAAAATGTCTGACAGAATCGACCGTGACCCCTCTCTCCAAGTCTGCCCCGATTTTTCAAGCGACGACTATGCCGCCATCCGCACTGCCGCCGCTAGGGATCGCAACGTATCTGATGCTGATATCGCAAGAGAGTTGACCGAAGCTTGGACCGCGAGAAATGACGCTGCCAAAGCAGCTTGGGCGGCTCAACAGGAGGCTGACCATCCTCAAGGCGGCAACCCCGACAACCCTCCGTCACTCGCAACTGATCGTAAGAAGCCCGCTCTTGCTCCCTTTGATCCTGATCTCGCAGCACCGGATCACCTGCGTCCGCGCCCCTCCGCATTCGCCATCCACAAGCTCGAAAATTTTGAATATGTAGAACTTTGGTATTTCACTCAAGACAGGTGCTTGGATGCCCTCTCGTCCTCCCACTCCACAGGCGACCATACTTTTGGTCTAGCTTCCGAAGAAGATGTGCTGGCTCTGCGCCCAATTGCGGCATACAAACCCTCGAAGGCCGTGGTGGCTGACGATAAGCTGTCCTGGCGACAAATGGAAATGGGCTTCTCCAGCATGCTCACTGAAATGGAAGCCACCCAATGGAGCGAGGCCCACCGCACCGCGCTCGCAAACTTCTATTGGAACCTCACCAACCACCCTTATCGCACCAGACCCTACGGCGAAACAGCTCTCATCACATACCAAGCCCGTGTCAGACGCCACTGGCACGACTCCTTGAAGCAGGGTAAGGGCTACAACATCAGTGGGGTCAACAACAATCTCCTTAGCTCCATCAATGACGAGGTCTGGGATAAACACAAGAGGGATGCATTATCCTCGTACGTAATCTCTTTTCATGTTCGAGGGTCACTCTTGCTAACCACCCTTCCTTACCTTTCTCCTCCCATGTCCTCTCCTACTCTTGCACCTGCACCTGCACCTGCACCGCACCTGCACCGCACCCGCACCGCAGTGCGCCACACCTGCACCGGGTCACACTGCCCGTCGCTCCCACACCGCATCGCTCTGCGCTGCGTCGCATTCACATATCCCGCACCATGTCGCGCCGCACTGTGTACCCGCACCGCACCCACACTCCCCTCCTGCATCGTACTGCACCATGGCCCCTGCTTGCCCCCACACCACATGCCACATCCCACTCGCCGCAATGCAGGATCGCGCGGGTCATCCCAATGAGCCCCGACGCGTTAGACTCCAGGAGCCGCCGTGTGCACAGCCGATCGGCTGCATCTCGCGCTCGTGAGCGTTCCGTGTCCCCGACACCACGCTCGCGCCTGAGTAGCTCAGGCACGCGTTTTCAGCAGGGTGCAGCCTCCCGCCGCCTGTCGGTCTGCGCCCTATGTCTCAGCAGCCGCACGCAGTTCGCCATTGCCGTGCATCCAAGACCTGGGACGGGCGAGCACCCCGATGTCGTCGCGGATCAAATGGCTTACTGTCCAACCCATCCGGTCGCACCCTATGCATGGACTGGCAGCTTCCCTCGGGCTGCCGATCCCCATCCTTACACCCAGGCTCCCTCCACGAATGCTCAGGCTGCGCTGCACAGGATCACGGAGCTCAGAGCTGCCTTCAAGCAGAACCGTAAGCATCCTGTCACCCCGCTCCACGCCAGCGCCTGGGACACTCTACTGCGACAGTATGGTCTTCTCGGGCGCTACTCTTCCCTCCCTGACTCCATTCGTTTTGGGTTTGACGCTGGCATCCGACCCATCACGTCTACCTCTGCTCCTCCCAACTCTACCGCCATTGAGCTACATCATGACAAATTTGACAGCATCATACAGCATGAACTCTTGCGCGGGCGCTACCTGGGTCCCTTCTCTCGAAGTGAGGTCGAGTCGCTCATTGGCCCTTTCCAGTCCTCTCCCCTGTCCCTCATCCCTAAGCCCCACAAGCCCGACCAATTTCGCCTCGTCCAAAACCTATCGTATCCACGCATCCCATCCTTCTCGCACAGCTCCATCAACTCCTCCATCAATTCCAACAACTACCCATGCACCTGGGGAACATTCAATGCGGTCTCCCTCCTCTTATGGCGCCTTCCGCCGGGCTCCCAAGCTGCATGCCGAGATGTTGCAGAGGCCTATCGCATGGTACCTCTCGCTCCATCTCAGTGGCCGGGGGCCGTGGTGCGCATCTCAGACAACGACCGCTTCGCAATTGACACCTGCAACATGTTCGGACTTAGCTCCGCTGGTGGAGTTTATGGCTCTGTTGCTGATGCCGGTGCTGATATCCTACGAGGCGGAGTGGGTTGACGATCATTTGTTTGCCTGGATTCGGCGCGAATACCTATGGGAGTACAACCAAAAGCGTGCTCATTGGCGAGCACGCATCAAGGCGCATGGTGGTCGCCTACAAAATGGGGGAAGGCTCTGGTTCTGTGGTGACCCTCTCCCAGATGGCCGAGTTGATGAGTTTGCAGAAGACATGTCTTTCCCCATCCAAGACCTGCCACAGTGCTCTCCACGGTCCGCCGAAGATCAGAGGTACACATACTGCTTCGCCGATATCGACACCATCACGTCTCAGCTTGGGATCCCATGGGAAGCTAGCAAGGACATCCAGTTCAGCTCCATCTGTCCTTTCACTGGTTTCCTCTGGAATTTGGAGAATCGGACAGTGTCCCTTAGTCCAGAGAAGCGAGCAAAATACCTGGGCGCAATTGCTGAGTGGCAGAAGACGCGCACGCACACCCTCGAGGAGGTCCAGAAGCTCTACGGGAAGCTTTTGCACGCCTGCAGCATCATCCCTGCAGGGCGATCTTACCTCCTCGAGCTGGAGACCATGCTCGGGATCTATCACAACAGTCCTCACAAGCCGCGCACCCCTCCCGCCGGCACCCCTGCAGACCTCGAATGGTGGAAAGAGACCTTGTCTGGCCCTCTCTCCCGCCCCATCCCTGGGCCCGTCGATGTCTCCGATGTCGGCACCTACTCCGATGCCAGCTCCGGTACTGGCATTGCTGTTGTCATCAGCGGGCGGTGGCGAGCGTGGCACCTCCTCCCAGGATGGCAGGGCGGCTCGCAGCGCGACATCGGCTGGGCCGAAGCCATCGGTTTTGAGCTCGCCATCTACTATCTCACGCACTTGGTGCCCGCTGAGTCCAACCACCTCGTCTTTGGCGACAACAAGGGCATCGTCGAAGGCTGGTGGAACGGGCGGAGTCGGAACCGTGAGGTCAATAAGGTCTTCAGACGTCTTCAGGCACACCTCAGCTATTCCAAGTGCCAGATCCACTCCCGGTACGTCACCAGCAAAAGCAACCCGGCAGATGGCCCCTCCCGTGCTATCTACCCGCCCTTTCACCTCCTGCTCCCTGCCATTCCCATCCCCAATATTCTTTCCGGGCTCATTGCCGACTACGATAGCCCGCAACAATCCACCGAAGGTGCCCTTGCTGCCAAGGGCCGCTGTCCCGCACCCATACCGAAAGTCATCTCAACGCGCGAGCATGAGTACCGCACCAGCGCCAACCACTCCCTCGAGTGTGACGCCGTCACCCTCCTCAATGACGAACTCTTCTGGTGGGATTAACTCGCGACTGCTGGCCGCGCTCCCCGTCGTAGCACCACCCTCTCCCCCTCGGCGCTACCGGCATGGCTTAACTCCCTCCCCTTCCCCTTTGCGGCCTCACTGCCTTGCCCGTGATCGCCTGCATCTCTGGCGTCCGGCATCATCCCGCGCTCCACTTGACCACAACGGCATCCCACTCCCATTCTCAGCGGCCGACATACAGCGGATTGGCGACGTGCTCATTCATGCCTGGTCTAGCAGCACAACGGAGACCTATGGTACAGGCCTACTGCTGTTCCATGTCTTCTGCGATGCCGCTGGTGTTCCGGAGGATCAGCGTGCTCCGACCAGCCAGATGCTCCTGGCGTCATTCATCGCCTCTCTAGCCGGCTCTTATGCTGGGCAGACCCTGTCCAACTACGTGTTTGGCATTCGCGCCTGGCACATCCTGCATGGCTTGGCATGGTCCGTGAACCATGATGAGGTGGATGCCTTGCTCCGCGCAGCCTCGGCTGTTGCCCCTGCTTCTTCCAAGCGGAAGAAGCGGCTCCCATACACTCCCGACCTCATCATCACTTTGCGCTCCCACCTCACCCTCGCGGACCCACTCGATGCTGCCATATTCGCCTGCCTGACCACCTGCTTTTACTCTGCTGCTCGGGTTGGCGAGTTCACCGTTCGGAACCTCCAGTCCTTCGATGCGGCTGTGCACGTCAGAGTGTGCGACGTGCGGGTGGAGTTGGACTGCAAGGGGCTCTCCGAGACCGTTTTCTTCCTTCCTAGGACGAAAATGGCACCGTCCGGTGAGGACGTCTGCTGGGCAATGCAGAACGGCCTATCGGACCCCCACTCTGCCTTCCAGAATCACATTGCTGTGAATGCGCCGCCCACTGATGGCCCTCTCTTCGCCTATCGGCACCAAAAGGGACACCGTCCCCTCACCAAGTGTATGCACCCGCTATTGCACCTCCCTTTCTTGCTGCTAACCTCGCTCCCGGCTAGCCGCCTTCTTACAGCGACTTGCAAAAGCGGCTCGCGCCACCAAAATCGACCCTCTCCAAGGTCACGGCATCCGAATCGGCGCGACACTCGAGTACCTGCTGCGCGGCATAACCTTCGATGTTGTCAAGGTCAAGGGACGCTGGGCAGGCGACTCCTTTGTCCTCTACCTGCGCAAACACGCCCAGATCCTGGCGCCATACATGCAGGCTGTGCCAGCCGTCCAAGAGCAATTCTTGCGCTACACCATGCCCCCAGTACGCTGACTGTAAGTAGTCCTCTCGTCTCCTACTACCTGGGAGTTTCGGCGTTCGCTCGACGCGTTGATAGGCACTAACACACGACAACACCAAAGACCAAAAGAAATAAAACCTAAAACACCCAGCGGTATGGGTGTAGGCGGTCTAAGGCGATTGAAGGGTAATATTTAAGTTCGAAGGGAGGGGGAGAAGTTAGACGCCGTAGGGTAGCCCGTAGGAAAACCTAAAACAAACAAAATCTTGAGGCCTGAAACAAACAGTATAGCGATTCTCCGGAGTATTTATCTCTGAAGTTCGACAGTAACCCGGGTGGGGAGTTCCACTGAACCCGAACAATAGTCTCGTGCCTACAGACGCTTGGTGAATTTTATACTTTAAATCCGGAGCTTACTTGGATCGATATGCGATGGCGGAGTTATCTAGTTTCGACGAGTCCGGCCTATTGGCAAAGCTAGGATTGATTGTAGACGCTAAGTCCGACGCGAAGGGACTCCGAGGGTCGCTGAGACGATAATTCTGGTACGCTGAGGGGGTGAAGTACAAAACTTGGATTTTCCACTACGCTCTATACATTTTTATGCTATTGGAATGGTTTTGCGTCCGCCCGGAGTTAAATAACAAATATGCTCCG